CCAATAACCACGTGTTGAGCCACGTGGCGTAACAACAGTAATAGTCACATCCTTACCATCATCGCCAACACATAAAATGTGTTTACTTTTGTTTTATATAATAATTGAGGTGACATTGGTGACAAATAAATGTAATATAAATGACATACTTTTACTTAAAATACAATAAAATTTTAGCAGTATGGGCCGAACAAAAAGTATTCACTATAATTTTAATAAAGTCATTTAAGCTTTGCGTTGACAATTTACTAAATATTTCGTCTATGCACATAAAAAGTAAGAGCTATCAAATAGATATATTCGCTCAAAAAAAAATAATAATAATAATAATAAAAACCATTGTAATCACGTCGCGCCCTCTGCATTCTTCCGAATCAATAAACTTTTCCTCGGTTTTCCACGTTCCGTGTTCACTTCCGGTCGCCTCCACTTCGGTCGTAATTCCGTCTCAGGCTCGTCACGCAGACCCATTTCTACTCTTCTCCTGTCGATACATTACTCCCTTCCGATCATAATTTACCCAAAAGGACGGGTTTTCCGCAAGGGTTTTCAAGTCAACCCGAAAACATCGATTCACAAACTTAAACTTTATATTTTAGACAGTACATTATTATTGATCGGAGACACTTCGTGCCACTTATATTTTTTTGTACCAGTTTTAAAAACGATATTCGTTTTAGTACAAGTTTCATAAAATAATTTTAATAATATTTATTATCTTCCTAATAAATTATTTTCAAATATTTTTTCAAAGACAGTCAGTAATGCTTACTTATCAAATTTAAGTGAAAATATAAGTTTATCATTTTAAGTTAAAGGCGGTACATTTTTAATAGAAAATCTTTATTTTTGTTTTAAGTGAATAAATATGTTCAAAGCAAAATTATTTTATTTATAAATCTGATAAAATTTTGTTTATTAAATGCATCACTTACAACAAATTATTATCTTCTAATAAAATATATAATAATTAAATATTACTTATAATTTTTAATAAAATTAAGCCGAGGTCAATTACTTTGACAGTATAAGTTAGTGTTTATTTATCTTTATTTATTTCAATACACATAATTTAACTAAATTGTATGGTACAGGAATAAAATTGTTCATTTATGAAAACTCAAACATTACAATAAAAACTGATAATACTTAATTAAATGGACAGCACGTAAAACCTGTAAGTGATTCGAAGATTGTCCGTGTATCGTCGGTGTACTTGTCAGAAACTTTTAAGTAACAATATAAGACACTTTACTTATTGTATAAAGTATTAACTTTTAGCAACCTCAAATACATAAAAGATAAAAGATAAAGAAAAGTTTTTGTATTGTTGAAAATAAATATTTTTTTCTTAAAAAAAAATGAACAGCATTTTATGTTTAATGTGGCACCAATAGTTTTGTTATTATCTTAATTTGGTAATAAACACTTTCAATGATCTTTTCTCGATAATGAATTTTATGATTCAAGCGCTTCATCTTTAATACAGAAATTGATCTATCCGCTATTTCTTAACTGCCATAAGATCACAATACTATTTTCATAAGAGAATCAGTGTCAATGGAGTTCAGGGAAACTCTTTTCTTTACCATGCTAATATACAATTTGAAAGCCGTTCGTTAATGCCCTATCTTGAGTATACTTTGTGTGTATAATAATGTCATCATACTCACTTAGAAAAATGAATTTCCAAGCACATTTCCCTACACAGTCATGATGACCCTCGCTGTGAGTAACACACCATTTACTTTAGTGCGTTGCATGCTGTGCGATACCACGATAAAGTGTATGCGCGCACTCACTGGGGCGTTGTGGTTTTTTCTCTGTTTAGTTTTTGCCGCCAGGATTGATTTTTATAAACGGGCTTGCAAAGAGTGTTGAACCTTTTATATCCTTTACCACCAAAAAACTGTAGGTTTTTCCTCTAATATTGTGTTTTCAGACGAATTTAACGAAAAACGCACTTTTTATGAGTGATGATCTTGTTTTGGTTATAATATTTTCAAAATCAGCTCATTTATAGTAACCATAAATATACTTTTCGAAATATAATGCACTTTCTTTGTTCATAAAATAACATTTTTGTTGAAAATTAAACGCCTTACGTTAAAATCTACAGTGCATACTTAATAACTAAAATGTTATTTCATTTTGTTATACTGAAACACAATATTATTTTGTTGTACGTTTATTGTGCGTTATTGTTGTACTTAACCTACCTACTCATTCGTGGAGAATAATCATTATGATGTTTAGATAGTAAATAAATATTATGTACTTAACTTGTTCTAAGCGTTTATTTAACATGTTTATGATTGATGTTTAAACTATATAGGTATTTCTGTTTGTTAACAATAACAAAAATAATAGTATAACGCATCTATACATGCTTGAAACTGCTACTATACCTAAACAATGATGTCAACTATAATTGCAAGGTTCCTAGAAAAAATACTCAACGCATCTCAAAAATATATTTATTGTTAGCAACAAAAAAACTATATAATTATCTATTGCTTAAAGTTGAACAAATATAAGCGTCAATCAGCAAATTGATAAATTCATTATTCATTTGATTTATTTGATTCATTGATAGTACTAAATACTAATAATTCTATAATTTTACCTATCTGAAAAGTTCATCTAAAAAAATACTAAAGTGTTAATCTGAAAGATTATTTTTTAACAAAAATTTAACATTCCTATACAATTTAATCTGTAATTTTGATACAATTTAATAAAAATTAAATATTTAATACGTCACTCTTGGTTTTTTAACCGTCTTACACCAATAACACAATATATAAGTAAAATGAAATAAACAATTAGTCCAACAATCAAAAAATAATTTTTTCTTATTTATGATAAAACTGTGTTACTTTTGAAGTCAATTAGGAAACATATTAATATATTTATTCAAATTAACTACGTTAATTTTACGCCCTAAAAATAATTATACTGGTTACAAAACTTTACAACTAATGAAATAAAAAAATTAAATGGCAAAAAATTTTGCTGTGTCGGAAATGAACTTCGCTACTATATTTTCATTTATTATTTAAATAAAAATTAATATGTAATATGAAATTTTGAATTTTATACAATCATAAGAGTTGAAAGTTACTTTATAAATATTAAATGGATAAGTTCTTTTATACGAAAAAAAATGAGTTAAATTGTTTTGTTCGTTCGCCCTATTTCTCTACCACAGTGTATAAATAATACTCTTAATCGTTTGTAAAGTTTCATTACACGAAATATAAGTTTTTTTAGCGTCAGCTTGTGTAAATGATTGTTGACGTGTAATTAATTAAATTACAAACAAATACAAAAAAAAATCGGAATAAACGGTAATCAATCATTACTTATTTGGCATTGTCATTTAATTTAATTTAGCTAATTTAACCCAGTATCAAGCACAAACAAGTAGATTGGTGTGAAAACATGTTAAGTGCTTTTATCGTTCCCCATTATTTAAAAACCATATTTGTTTTAGTATTGAAATTGCAATTAGATTAAATAATCAAACAATTATTTAATCATTGATCAACAAATGCAATCACTTAAAAATAAAATTCAATATCAATATAAATTTATTACGGTTGACAGACTTTAGGTCCAATTTTTTTTCTTTTATTTAAATTAAAATTTCATTACGATGTATTTTTAAATTGTACATTGACCATGTAAATATTATGAACTGTCTGAGTACAGTTCTAAAAGTTCCATCAGAAAATTTGGTGCTACTTTTTGCAAGTAATCTGATATTTTCGTTTGTTATAAATATGATTAGACAAGTATTTTTTTTAAAACTTGATTCTGTGATCAATTTATATTGAGTTATCAGATTATGATCTTATTGACAAATACACAAAGACTATGCTAATTTTTAGAATGTTTGTGTCTGTCTTGAAGAAGGAAACTTGTCGTCTGCCCAACAAGTGGAAAAACTGGGTGGTATAATTATACGTCTAGCTGTATGATATTATCCCTTAGACGAATAACAATTGGATAGGAGGGAAAATGGTTAACTGTTGAAACCTAACAGAACAAAAACTACTATGATATTAGGTTAAATAATTCATGAAAATTGATGGTTTGAATGTATACATTAAAATCCTAATAAATACTATTCGATCAACGCTTTCGAGCATCAGACAAATTCAAATAAACATTTGTCAATCAACTTATCAAATATTTATACGTTATTGAATGAGCTGTTATAAATGATTATTCGAATGATAAATGAATAAAAATAGAAATTCTTAAAACTCTTTTCTCAAGTTTAAGAAAATATTTATAACTGTATGGTCCAATTAATTGTTTGTTATTGATTATAACATAATTCAACAGATAAAATTTATTTTACACTAACCCTCCATTGAATTATGATTAATTTTACAACTAAAATTGAAGTTTTTATTCAATCATTTCAAGTTTTATTCATACTATCACATGTTATAAAAAAGTCTAGTATTGAAAAGTATCAACTTTCATAAAAATATTATTAATTAAATTTGTATCGCTTTGGTAGGATCCTAAATTAATTACAAAAACATGTCTTAAATTCATGTTTATTAAGAAATGGGCGTGGTTTGGCGCAGTGGTCACACTAGTTGTTGACAAAACTCTAGTGTTAAGCCTCGCCTACTGCCGTAGGTGAACGGATGGGTGACCATGCGTGTGTTTCTACGGTGGCGAAAAGCACCATTTTTCCAGTGCAGAAAGCAACGGGAAACCACTGCACATAAATTTTCCCAGTATATAACCTGACGGTTGTAAAAAAAAAAAAAAAAAAAAATATTTCAATGTACTACATCATTTATTTGATATGTTAAGTTAAATTTTATTTTTAAATAGAAATGGTTTTCAATTAGCACACCCAGTAAAGTAACTTACGTCTTTGAAAAAGTTTATGAATAAATATGAATTTATTTAAACTAAATAGACTTAAAAAATAAAATTCATTGGATTAACTAATGTATATTTTATGTTCACAGAGAGACAATTCCGGGAAATCGTCGTCCAACTGCATAAATCAATCGTTTGAAGAGTGTGAAAAAGAACCGGGGGAAGAACAAGCCGTAGAAGGACAGAAAAGGCAACAAGACGAAGTTTACGGTGTTGCTGAACAAGCATTGTGGAAAGAAAATAACGGTGAGGTATCGCAACACCAGGATCACTGTGCGCAATACCTACAGTCGATTGTCGATCACGGTGACGGTCCGGACGACCGCAAGCTCGTCCCCGAGCAACGCGGTCGACGACGGAGGAATCGGGAAAAGAGCCGTATAAGCTATTGGAACCAATCATACAACCCGGTGGCCTACTCGTCACCATACGCCTCCAACAGCTGCCGCAGACCTAAACCGTCAACTGAAACCGGGTTCCTAGATCTTGGCGGCGGCCCACAAACGTCTAACATGCTTCAACAATATCAGCAGCAACCAGATTATACGCCATACGGTGGCATGGGAGGTTATAGCACTCAACAAAACTCTGGATACTTTAACTACTCAAGTTCCGAAGCATCGTGGTTCAGTCCATCGTCGGCTAGCGATCATTCCCAAATGGTAAAATATTAGAATAAACTGAACTTGGATTACACTTAAGAGTAGTGATATCTGGAGAATGCAGTAATAAAATTCTTGATTCTCATAAAATTCTTATAGCTTATAAATAAATTGAACGAACATTTTATATAGAATAATAACATCATCAGTGAGTTTTTAACTAAAATATTCTCTAATCTGGTTGTAATAAGTTATTATTAGTAGTTTTTATAACAAAGAAAATTTCTAAATTAAGTCTTACTTCAGTGTCATAATTTTTTATACAATATCCTTAACGGTTCATTCACTGAAAATTTCCAGTTTTCAATAATATATTATAGAATTATTTACAGAAAACTTATATTTATCATCATTTAAGTGTGACATAAAAATATAAATTAATAAAAACTTTACAAGTTGAAAAACTATTCATTCATTGATGAAGTCATTCTAATACTACTAGGTACCCTAGTGATAGAAATTCAATGTAGTTTTAGAAACTCAAATGAAAATTATAAGTTATATTGTGTTACTACACGATTTTTTTGTCGCATAGACTTATTAATTTTTAATTAAGCTTTTTATTATTATTTTATATAAAGTACTATGACGCATTTCTTATAAAAACATAAAAAAAGAGTGTAATTTTATATAGGAATTTTCTTTTTCAGCATGGTGGTTTATCTCATAACTCTTGCAATATAAATGACAATGCCGGAAATTACTTAAGCCATGGCTATAACCATTCCCCGACGGGTTTGTATACATTGTTTTTTATTTATCTACTTGTAAATTTGTAAATTAAATTTAATATTTTTCTACAGGAGGAACAGGGACGTCTTCAGTTGATTCCTACGCTTCCAATAGCGGTCATACAACAACAACTCAGCAGTCCGAAATAGATCCTATGGCCGAATTTTTAAGCCACCCGGTTATGAATGAATCTGACAAGATCAAAGTAAGCATAATTGTACTAAACTATTTTTTCACGTATCCAGATCCCTTTGCGTTCCGTATAATTCCAAATAATAGGTTTCCTCGTCGTACCATTCCATTTGTTCCGATTGTTTCCATCATACAAATGTTACCAGAATTAACAATTTTCTACAAATGTTTAGGATGAGTCCATTGACTGGCTCTCGACCATAATAAACGACGACGGTTCCGACCAAGGAGCAGAAGATATTAAACTATCTGTGTGCGAGTTACCCGTGTCAACAACAAAAGGCCAAGAATCTAACGGTCGATTACCAAATTTTCATCAAGCTTTCGGATCAACGGAAATCGGTAGATTTTCGCAGCATGAGTACTATGAACCCCCTAAAGAATCGACGCCAATTGTCAATGAATGTAGTTCTTCGCAACCAGTTACTTCTCAGCAACCTGGTGAATCAGTTACTCCGCAACCACTCATGTCCTATGAACCACCTAGGCAACCTAGTAGACGAGGTCGCGGTCAACGAGGAGGTGGTCAACACCGTCGAAATAAAACCTCTCGGACAACGTCAGCTGCTGCAGCTGCGGCGGCAGCAGTAGCCACTCAGCAATTTGTTGGCTATGACATGGCTGCCAGACACCAATCGCCGTACCACCATGACCCGTATAGCAGAAGTCACCACCAACAACGTTACCAAGACCAACATTATCATCATCAGCAGCACCAGGCAGCCTACCAGAATAATCATGACTACTATAGACAACAACAACACCACCAGCAACAACAACAACAACAATATGAACGAATGCATCATCATTATCAGTCATCCGTGGCTGCCGTGTCCACTAACCAATACTATGGCCAGCGAGATCAGTACGCGAACACCGGCTACAATAGGTTTCATTCGTGCTGTTCCTCTGAGCACATAAGTCGGCCTAACCACCATAGTTATGGTGGTGGTGGAGGTGGTGGCGGTCCCGGACAGTATTACAACGAGTACAACGCATATAACCAGTGGTCGTAAGCAAAGTCCCATAAGACTTTTACCAGAGAACTTTGTTGAATAGATATGTACAAACATTTTAGTTTATTAATAAATATAAACATCAAGATAGATTTAAAAAAGGCATAAACTGTGATATATAAACGGTGTATATTAATAATAATTGAAAGTAATTATGATGCAACGATACAAAATAAAAAAATCAAAATGTATTCCCAACACATTCACAATGAGTCAATTAAAGTAAAAAACAAAAATTCCCGATACTTTATTTTTCTAGCGTGTTTAAACCGCTTGTAAATACTTAGATTGAATTTAGACAATTTTTAGAAAATAATTTTCACGACCAAAGTATTTTTTTATCTGTGTCAACGCCGTTTAATATTTCAAATGGTGGCGATTTGGAAAAGCCAATTAGATGACAGTGAACTGTTAATATCTCGTGGGTTAAACATACAATGGATTGCGATTGGAAAAATAAATGAACATTTTCTCAAATTACATATAAATAACTATTTCAAGAACACGAAACATACTTTCGGATCATAAATGTTATTTTATGTATTGGTACCTGTACAATTAATTGTGTAGTGTTAAATCGTTGTGCCTTATTAATTAACTAAATTATAATTAATAATTAAATATAAATTATGCACCATTATATAAAAAAACTATTAGGAATAATATAATAATTTTAATAGGAACAATATTATTAATAGTCTATGTAAATTATGAAGCATAAATGGCAAAGAGTTAAAGCCGTTTTTTTATTTTGTTATTTTCATCATGGTCCAACGGGTTGTCGTTTTATTGTTGATTTAATTTTTATTTTTATCGATTAATAATCTCGTAATGTAGTCGTAGTATTCGCTTTACGATAATTTATTATTGAAACTTGAGGTAAATTTTTGTTTATAATTAACTTATTGATAATATATATAGGTATTTAGTAAGTAAGGAAACAGATTTCTATTGTTCTCATCGTTTATAACAATTTACTTTTTTCTTTACTTACTGAACATCTGTATACAGGGTGTTTAATAAGTAAGGAAACTGGTCAGTTGTTATTAAAAATGAGAACAATAGAAATTCGTTCCCTTACTTACTGAACCTCTATATATTATTTTATAAGGAAGTACAGCTGATGATCAAATATTTTTTATCCTGTGGTAATCGTTATTCGTTGTTTTCCGGTTGTTTTGTGTATTTATTATTATTATTGATATTTTATTCCAGTAGTCTTCCTTTTGAATTAATGACATAGTTGGTTTTGATTGAGTTGTATGAACAACGCGACGATTCAACAGAGCTTCCCCGTGTTACCCCAGTAATTTTATTGCGTGAAGTTTATAGATAGACCATCTTATATATATTTTATGTGTGTTTTTTACACACAAATATCGGATTTATTTATTGAAAAACTTCGGGCTCAACTCTGCGTACTCGGACCAATAGTAGAATTTATTGTACATTAAATTAACAGATAAATATAAAATTAATTATTTATAAATTACATTCAATATTTTATTATATTCATTTTACATTTAAAAATAACTATTGTTAAATTTGTATCTTCTATATTTTTTTCACGCGTAATAATCGTTATTAATTACATAATACAACATGAACCTGGTAGCCTTTTTAAGTTTAATGTGTTTAAAAACAAACAAAATCAAATCAACCATTGTACTGTTTTCTAAGGAAAAAAATTATTTTGTAAATATTTTTTTAAGTTTAGTCAAAATGTAAACATGATATGATCCCAAGGCAAAAAAAAAAGTAAAGAAAAAAATTCCAAATGCAAATAAAATGTAACCAAGTGACGCACTTCTTGAGGGTGAACAGGTCGAAGGACGTGTAACGAATTGATAGTTGGAGTCGAGGTCACTTTTTTTAACATGTAATTTCCATACATACATACCATAGTTTGTCACAACAGACCGTCTCTTTATATCTCTTTTACAAAAATATAACAACAAAAAATGCCTACAGTTAATCTTAGCCGTCCATTATTTTCCATACAACATAACCGAACCTCCAGTCAATTACAAATACAAATTATGTAGAAAGAAAAGAAAGGGGTTTGATTGTTCATCCAAGTTTTCTTCTTTTTTTTTTACCTATCCATTGGGATCCATTGTGTAAGTTCCTGAACGCCAAAAAAAAATTGTATCGAGATTTTTATTGTTATATTATATATGTATATCAGACGACACATGTCGTCCAAAGATATTTAATATACATAAACTATAGTGTAATTTTAAAATACACAAAAATGATATGGATTATTATATTATATTATTATTATGTTTATATTCGAGTAACTGGAACTTATTATAGAAAGAAGAGACTATTCCTAAAATGTCGGACGAATCTAACCGTAATTGTCTTGGTTACATTATTAATATTACTTAAACTGTAAAATTATGATGGATACCTGATAATTACTGCTGTAAGACAATTTTCCTTTCCATTCAATGTGTCTTTTCATACTAGTTCTTTTTCTGTATTTATTAATGATTATAAATGATGATATTTATCATTATTATTTTGTTTAATAGTTATTTCGGCCCTTTCCCAGCCATAACCACGTTATTAGATAATTACATTATTATTCATAGTATTTATAATTTATTGATTAATTTTATTTAGTGTTTTTGTTTTGTTTTGTTTTTTTCAGGTTAATTTTGATTAATTGTTTGATACGTGGTATAATAAAACGAATTATGTAAAATAATGTTTGATGTAGTAAAATAAATTATCAACAAAATATTTATTCACATTAATAAAGTCACACAAATTATATTCATATGCCTGGATATTTTTTAATTAGGAAATACATAATATGGGATGGATTTTGAATGATAACATTTATATAATACCTAATATAATAGACTACATACATGTAGAATAATAATGAATAAAACTATGATAACTCTTATTATATTATACTATTGACTTTTGTAAAAGACAAGGATGAAAAATAAACATTATGTTACTGTACTTCGTTTTTTAGTTTTGTTATTTTATTTCCTATTAACAGTTAAATTTCTTGTACTAAGAAAATTATATACTAACAACCATGTAAGATAATATTTGAAACTAGATTTTGAAGAAAATGATATTACAGATTATGTAAGGAACTTTTATAGGTAAAATGCCAATAAAATTTAGAGTAGAACTAACCAAAAGTACAAGATACAATAATAAGGGATTAGAAGAAAATATGGGATTAGACAGGAATACAGGAAGTCTAATAAGTCGACAGGGGTTGATAAGATTATGCTTATATTTATCCAAAAACTCAAACTCTATTTTTTCTTAAATGAGGTCCATTTAAAATTTATCTGAAAAATAAATAACTGGTAAATTATCTATTATTGTTGACAATATTATGAAGAAAAATTGTACCAGGGATTCATATTATGAACATTAATTTCCACATACACAAACAATCTCTATAAAATTCTAATATGTAAACTAGTACCAGGAATTCAGAAGGTATGGTGTAATTTCTTAGTTTTGAAAAGTAGATACCCGGATCAGTATTACTGTTCTTTGGTGAACAGTGATCTTAACTACAGTAGTAGATAAATTTAGTGCCATTTAAATATAACGACATTTCTTATCACCTACCTCCACATAGTTGGGCCAATATTGGCCCAACTTTATGGACGATAATATATATAACATCGCCAATGCTATTAACGGTGAGAGGACTAATCTCTTACACGAATCCCATAAATTTCTAATAAATATGTGTTCTAGACATTAGTGTTAAAAAAAACAAGAATATCTATTTAGTATTGATGTATTCGTGACGAATAAAATAAACTTTATAATTGCTTTAAGTCTTAAGCCCAAATTATGACTGTTCATCAAGTAATATAGAACGGAGCTGTAAGTACCTTAAGGCTGTAAATCTATAAATTTATAGATTTATTATCTATAAAATTTAATCTTATGATAACATTAAATAATATAAACATTATTTAACGGTTATATTATCAAAGTATAATTTATACCTAATAGTGCCCTTTTATTAAAATAAATGTAGTACAATCCTGTATGACTATTTTAATTTTGAAAGGATAATATTTAATACAAATTTATTTTTTCTGTAAAAAATGTTATTTCATGTAAATATCGTGTTTGAAATGTTACATATCAAAAAAATGTCGTCACTACTGAATACACTTTAATGTAGTTTATTAAATATATATAAAAAAACAATCATTTTTATTTAATTATGTTCTGAAGTGTTAAAACGACAAAAATTCATAAGAATCGCAAACTGCGAAATAAATGTCTAATTTTTTAATTATTTATTTCATAAATTAAATTTTATGCTAGTATTATGTAAGATAACCCACTTCATGCAATATGCATTGAAATCCTGATCCTACTAAGTAATTCATTATTTATTATTAGCAATTATCAAAAAATTGTAGATTATTTATCTTAATCATTTCTAAATCATTATCACAACTCTAACTAAAACTTTCAACTAAAAATTATATGAAGTTCCTTACTAACTGACTATAACATAATGGTAAGCACTAAAATTGACTATAAAATTAATTTGCTTTTACTCACTTCTCTTTGTTTTATAAAAATAAATAAATATTTACGTGTTTACAAATTATATTTTCCATTAAAATTCTTTAAAAAGATCTTTTTTTTGTGCAAAATTTAAAATACTACTTATTTGTGTTGGATACATATTATGTACCAGACACATGCTGTAATATACAGAGTGATTGGTCATTTCAAGCCCTATAACTATCCCAGAGTTTAAAATGACCAAAAGCAGAGGCGACTATGAATCTTAATACTATTTTAAGGAATAATATAATTTATGACATTCCAAAGAAATGTTTAAGGAGATGCTCTAAAACTCTAAAGATATACTGTCACCTAGTTCATTGACTTTTCTCCTTTAATATTGTAATATAACTAGATATGGTTAAATAAATTATTGTTGTAGTAAAATTTTATCAATTTAATAGCATATTGTAAAAAAAAATTGTTTAACTTAATAAATATTCATTTTTTCTCAAAACAGTTATACAAAATATATTACTTTTATAAACTATTTAAGAACAATACATCTGTAATTACATTAAAAACATACATTAATTATATATTAAATACAGCTTGTTTTCATATTTTCAAAAATAACCAGTAGAAATTAGAAACATGATAATTCTCTAAACAAATATCAAAATTAAAATAAAGTAACTAAGTTATTATAATTTATTTGTTTATAAACATATCTCTACAAATAACTTGTATGTTTAATTGACAGTTTGTTTTGATCACTCTATTAAAAAGTTTAAAAGAGTCTTTTAATAATCTTTTTTTTTTTTTTTTAATATAAAAAAAGAATATCATATTCAAATCCATATAGTTTTAGGTGTACAAATATATATGTATAAAAGATCTTTCAATATATTTAGTCAGTACCAAAATATTTTTGTCCAAAATGATTTGGTGCAATTGGATACATTTCTGAAGTTAATATAGTCATCTGCAATTAACATAATAAGTTATTAAAAGTATTTCACATTATAAAGATAAGCTCATAGTTGATAATTATTTTATAAACATTTTGTTGGAAAATTTACCATAAATAAATTCATGTGAGAAAGTAATCTTTACTTAAAAGCATTTTGAAAAAAAAAAAGAAAATAATCATTGAAGCAACTATTTTAATTTTAAGATTCTAAATATAAAATAATTTACTACTCAAGTTCAATTATGGCAATAAACATATTATTTCAAGATAGATTAAGACATTTTAAATTATTTATCAATTATCAAACAGTTTTTTGAATTTAGATAAAAATTATAGAATAAATAATAAAAATAAAAAAACTTTAGATATTGACATTTTTTTCAAACTTAAATAGAAGAATTTAAAAATTTTATTTAATGAATTAAGTATTACAACTAAAAAATTATTACTTCTGTAATATCTCTAGTAGCATTTTACAAAATAATTGTAGAGTATACATAATAGTATAATTGTAAATATATAAACAAATTTTTCTACAATGTACTCAACAGTGTATTCAGGGTGTACACATTTCCACCAAGAGGTAAATGTGTATATCGCAAAAATTCATTTACCATTCAAAATAAATAATTTATTTCTCTACTTAGATTTAATTAGTAAAAAATATTATATATTCACTTTTAAGTAATTATTTTTTAGTATAACATAATACCTATGAACAATAAAGTATAATAAAGTAACAAACCTTAACTTTTAGAATTTTTTATTGTGATTTTTAAATTGTAAACAAATAAGTTATTTGGAAAACTATTTTTTTACAAGTCATTAAAATTTATGTAATTATATGAAGAGTGAATGTGTCAAACGTTCTATGTGCCAAAAAATTGAAAAATTGTTTTATTTCTGATTTATGTTCTATGAGCCAAAGGTCACAATCTTGTATGTGTTTTAAGTGTCAATTAAATTTTTTACTTGTACAAAATTGCGTTCACAGATTGTATTTGTTCTGTGAGACATGCCCTTTGTTACCTGTACGTTCTAAGTGCCTTGGACGAATATAATAGTTTGACGATTACAATATTATAATATAGTCCGTTATATTTCAAAATAACTAATACTGGTGTTGTTGTATTCGTTAAGTTTTCTTTTTCATTTGTTTAAATGTATTATTATGGATACTGAAAGTATACATATTTTACGAAGTGGTAAAAAAAGAAGAAATGATCAGACTAAAAAAAGAATTAGTGGAAAATCGTATGCGACCAGGAAAAGCAATAATACAATTCAGGAAAGCCGTCAACTTAGTTGTTATAACTTTGGAATACATCTCGGTGACAGCAATACAGCCTTTATGTATATGTGGGATGAAAGTATTGCTTCTCGTGGAAGCTCAGAAATCGCTTCTTGTCTTTTTAAAGTTATTAACAAAAACGAAAATACGATAAATCGCAAAAAACTAATTATATGGTCAGACAACTGTGCTGGCCAAAATAAAAATAAAACGTTAGTAGTTTTGATGTTATATTTAATAAATATGGGGATATTTGATGAGATTATACAAAAATTTTTGATAAGTGGCCACTCTCTCTTGGCTTGTGATCGTGATTTCGCTATTATCGAAAAGAGACGTAGAGTTTTTCAAAATTTCACTCCTTCTGATTTACAAGAAATGGTTAGAGCAGCGAAGTTGATAAATCCATTTCGAGTTATTCCGATGGACGAAAACAACTTTTTTTCATTTAAAGACATTGCTAACAATTTTTTTAACACAACCAAGTTTCCAATGTTCGATGATTAAAGTTTCATTTTTAACTCCCAAAAAAATCTATTATAAAAAAACATTTTCAGATGAAGAACTTTGGAAAGATTTTAACGTTTTTAAAAGAAATGCTACTATAGACCAACTTAAAAATCAGACATTTATACCTATACCGAAACCCACATTGTCGTCAGAGAAGAAAAAAGATTTGTTGGCCATGATTCCTTTTTTACCTGATAAGCACAGAAACTTCTATAAAAATATAACGTCATGAATTAATTTTTTTTGCTATTTATTATGATGTTGCTATGTTCTAATTATGTTTAATCTAGATTTTTTTTATAATTATTATTAGGTTTGTTAATTTATTTTTCAATTTGTGATACTCAAGAAAGCTACTGTTTTCTTTTCTTGTTACATTTTTATATGAAGAAAAAATTTTATTTTACGTTTTGAGATTTACTGACAATGTCATGTTAGATTAAGAGTATTTTTTATTTAAGTTTGTACATTTATTTTTCAATTTGTGATACTCAAAAAAAGTGTTGATTTTTTTACATATTTTATAAAAATATATATGAAGTCTTAATAAAATAAAGAATGATTTTCTGTTATCTATAATAAAATATTGGTACTTGGAACGATAATATTATCACATTATTTGAAACTTGGAACTTTAATATTATAATACTTGGCACTTGGAACTGTCATTAGCAAATGTTTAATTTATACTAATATGAAATGACAAAATAAAATAATAGAAATTTACGAGGCTATTAATATAGTGTAAATATAGCATAACATGTATTTTTATACAAAATTATAAGAAAATTTTTAATTTGTGATGTTTTTTGTGTTTTCTGAACAAATATTTTTTTGGCACATAGAACGTTTGACACATTCACTCTTCATATATTTATGTATTAATGATATTATCATAGTACTAACACATCTTTTTGGTTAAATAGAGGTGTAAAAAAAAGTATTGTCTAGTAGGGATAAAAATAAAGAAAAATTTTATTAACCTTTCAAATAAAAAACAAATTTATTTAACTATTTAATAATTTTTTATTTTTGTATATACTCTCATAATTACGTCAGTTTTTGTATAGTAAACTATTAATTAATATTCAACCTTTTATTATAAAAACTTTAAAAATGTTACCAAAGGGAATGCTGTAGTAATTGTTTGGGCAGCTACTGGTGTGGTAAATAAGTTTGACAAAATAATATTTTCTTCCAATACACGATGTTCTTTTAATACATTAACTGCTTTCACAACTGTGTTACCAGTACCTAAATAATATGTTCATTTAGATTTATTTTTCTTAATTTAACCAGTTAACTTACTCATAATTGGATACATCAATAACACTTTTCTATCAGCTATATCATGGGGAAATTTAGCATAAACAACACGTGCTTCATGGGTATCAGAATCAGATTCCACCAATATTTTACCAATTCTAATTGAGCGGCAACAATCACGAAGCCCCTTTAAATAAAAATATTACTTAACCACTAGACAAAATTAAAGACTTAAATGCACAATTTTACTTGTTCCATTGCTTCACCACTACGAACAATGCTTACACCACAGTTTCCTCTTTCATATTTAGTACCTTTGTAATAATTACCTGTAGGAGTCATCACAACACAACTACCAAATGGCAATTGATTAAGGCTTTCTTCAATTACCAATCGAATCAGACGATCAGCATAGAATTTGAAATCTGTGCGGCTTGTGTTTCTACAGACCGAATGTACTATTATGATTCTGTGCAGGATTTCAAACACCTAACTCCAACTTACTTGTCCCTAAGTATAGTCTGTAGCTCACGGACCTGGTCGTTAGACCGGAGCAGCTTCAACCTGGGACCAAATTCATAAGCTGGGCAAGATGAATTCAATTTTTCACACTTGGCAGACATATTTGTTGCACACGCAACCATATGAATAAGCAGAAGTTAATTAGAGAATACTATAAAAGTTAGTTTTAGTTATCCGATTAGTAAATAATTAAAGGAATTAGACACACTTGAATGAAATTTAAATGTTGTGTTTACTACAATTGACGTCGTCCACAGAACATAACCTAAAAAAATATTGTTATCAACTAAATAATAGTAATTACAGTTTTGATAACCCAGTCAAATTTAAATTTAACCACAAATTATTTATGACAAAAATTTGATCATATTAAAAAAAAAACGTTTCTGGTTTTTATTATTATAATGCACGTTTAATGATCAAGCATAAATAATAGTCAGTAAAACAATATGTTAAAAAATTAAAAACTTACACTTGAATACACTACTTCTAATTTATGTGAAAAAACAACATTAAAAATGTTTCTTATTATTTTTCACTTTATTGTTAACTTAAATGCATTCAAGCAACTGAATTGAGAAAACTAAACTCACTTGAAAATTCATATAAGCCAAAGTTTCATATAATATAATCGACAGATGTAATTTTTTTTTAATAATAAGTGAACATATTTATGGAATAAAATAATATAACTGTAAAAGTAACTAGAACATATATTTAAATATATTGATTTATTAATTATTAAAGGCCAGCAATTATGCTTCATTGAAGTTTATGTGTTGTATTTTAATTTCCAAGAACTAATATTTGATTTAATGTAGATATTGATTAGGTATACTTATTAAATAAATTAATTTTTTGTATAAATATGATCTGTCGCAAATATCAGCCAATTAACTAATTTAGCACATTATGTCATTATGCATAAAATAGGCAATATTAATCATTAATTATATCTCTTCAACCCCAATTATTAATTTATTATAAAAGATACTTTTATAATGAATGTCAATATATGAATGAAATCAATATTTTTCTTGATAAATTATTTTTAAAAAAATTTATATTTTATTTATATTATTTATGTATTTATAATTTATAGTATTTAAATACAATACTTCTCATTGCAACTAATGATTAACAAGTATTGCAACAATTTAGACGAACAGTTGTTTTTTATACTTTAATATATTCATTTTAAGTATATTTAAAAAAGAGGTTGCGGCATAGTGGAGACATTGCATAGTAGGGTCCAGTATAGATTTAATCTGACAGTGATTAAAATCACTATCATAAGAAACGCTTCGATGCAAATCTGTAGATAGTGTTTAATTTTAAAAAATTGATGGATAATTGCAAAAGCAACATCAACTTCTATTAAAATAAAATACAAAACCCATAATTATCATACAAAAATAGTATATTTTTCAATATGGTA